GAATCTATCCTTATTAGTAGAAATCCACAGTATCAAGGGTATACTTCTTTCTTTTCAGTAGCACACAGTATAGTGTCTATCCTCTGTTTGTAGTGATACACAGTAACAATTCTATATTTTATGTTCTCATTAATATACAATATCGACTCTTTAATTTGTTTATAGTAATATACAATATCTAGTCTATAAGTTGTTTGTAGTAATACACATTATCGAGTCTATCCTTCTTTATTTTTAGTAACACACAGTATCAAGTCTGTCCTTCTTTGTATTTAGAAATACAAGGTATCTAGTCTATTCTTCTTTCTTTCTAGTAACATAATGTATCAAGTCTATCCTTTGTTAATAATACACAGTATGGCGTCCACCCTTTTTTTCAGTAATACCCAGTATCGAGTATATGGTATTACTACAAACAACCTTTAGACTCTGTATTGTGTATTACTACAAAGAAGGAAGCATAGACTCTTTACGGTATATTACTACAAACAAAAGATAGCCTCGATACTGTGTATTACTACACAAAAAGAAAGAGAAACTGTGTATTATTCAAAAGAAAGGGTTGACTCAATAATGTGTATTACTTCAAAGAAAAGATAAAATCGATAATGTGTATTACTACAAACAAAGAATAGATTCGATACGAAGTATTGCGACAAACAAAGGATAGACTCGATACTGTGTATTATTACAAACATAAGATAGTTTCGATACTGTGTAGTACTACAAACAAAGCAGGATATACTTGAACTATGTGTTACTACAAACAAAGGATAGACTTGATAGTGTGTATTACTAAAATCAAAGATGAATTGACTAGATACCGTGTATAACTACAAACAAAGATTACACTCGATACTGTGTATTACTAAAAACAAATAAGGATAGACTCTATACAGTGTATTACTATAAACAATGATGAATAGACTCGATACTGTGTATTACTATAAACAATGATGAATAGACTCGATACTGTGTATTATTAAAAACAACTAAGGATAGACTCTATACAGCGTATTACTATAAACAATGATGAATAGACTCGATACTGTGTATTACTAAAAACAACTAAGGATAGACTCTATACAGCGTATTACTATAAACAATGATGAATAAACTCGATTCTGTGTATTACTAAAAACAACTAAGGATAGACTCGATACAGTGTATTGCTATAAACAATGATGAATAGACTCGATACTGTGTATTACTAAAAACAACTAAGGATAGACTCTATACAGTGTATTACTATAAACAATGATGAATAGACTCGATACTGTGTATTATTAAAAACAACTAAGGATAGACTCTATACAGTGTATTACAATAAACAATGATGAATAGACTCGCTATTGTGTATTACGACAAACAAAGTAGGAAAGACTCAGTAATGTGTATTATTACAAACTAAAAGGATAGACTCAATACCGTGTAGTACTACAAACAAAGAAGAACATACTCAATACTGTGTGTTACTACATACAAAGAAGGATAGACTCAATACCGTGTAGTACTACAAACAAAGAAGAATAGACTCAATACTGTGTGTTACTACATACAAAGAAGGATAGACTCAATACCGTGTAGTACTACAAACAAAGAAGAATAGACTCAATACTGTGTGTTACTACATACAAAGAAGGATAGACTCTATACCGTGTAGTACTACAAACAAAGAAGAATAGACTCAATACTGTGTGTTGCTACATACAAAGAAGGATAGACTCAATACCGTGTAGTACTACAAACAAAGAAGGATAGACTCAATACCGTGTAGTACTACAAACAAAGAAGAATAGACTCAATACTGTGTGTTGCTACATACAAAGAAGAATAGACTCAATATCGTGTAGTACTACAAACAAAGAAGAATAGACTCAATACTGTGTGTTACTACATACAAAGAAGGATAGACTCAATACCGTGTAGTACTACAAACAAAGAAGAATAGACTCAATACTGTGTGTTGCTACATACAAAGAAGGATAGACTCAATACCGTGTAGTACTACAAACAAAGAAGGATAGACTCAATACCGTGCAGTACTACAAACAAAGAAGAATAGACTCAATATCGTGTAGTACTACAAACAAAGAAGGATAGACTCAATATCGTGTAGAACTACAAACAAAGAAGAATAGACTCAATACTGTGTGTTACTACATACAAAGAAGGATAGACTCAATACCGTGTAGAACTACAAACAAAGAAGAATAGACTCAATACTGTGTGTTACTACATACACAGAAGGATAGACTCGATACCGTATGTTAATAAAACCAAAGCCAAGACTTAACACTGTGTATTACTACTAGGAAAGGTTACACTCGATACTGTGGATTACTACAAACAAAGAATGATAGATTTGATACTTTCTAGTTCTGCAAACAAAGGATAGAATCGATACTACATATTGCTACAACGAAAGGTAAACTCGACACTGTGTATTATTGCAAACAAAAAAGGATAGACTCGGTACTCTGTATTGCTACAAAAAATGATGGACAATTTTCTTTCATCACACTTCCTTTCCTACCACATTTCTGACTAATATTTTCATTCCGTAATACGTCAACCTCACATACATTTCTGGTACCATATTTTTTTCTTAAGCACCATCATATCACCTTTTTTGGCATTCTGTCCTAAGCTTTTACCAGGTCAATGAATACCATGTACAAGTCTTTTCTTTGTTCCCTAAACTTCTTCATCAACCCTTTCAATGCAAATATGGAAATTACTGTTGACCTGCCAGGCATACACCAAAACTGTCCTATTCCTATTTCTATCGCTGCTTTCAGTTTCTTATCCTCAACCTTCTCCCAAAGCTTCATTGTATGACACAACAACTTTATGTCTAATAGTTGTTGTAGTCTTACACACCACCTTTACTTTTGAATATTGACACAAAGATACATTTCTCTTCTGTCATTATAACTGCACAAAAGTTGGTTCTCTAACCTTTCTAGCTGCTTAAATGCTTCAATAGGTATATCGTCTAGATATATACATTTTAAATTTTCTCCAATTCTCTCTCTACTTCCTTCATTCTCTAGCTTTTCTAGTTTATCTCACCCATTCTCATCGTTTAAGGTATGCTCCCCATCTCTTTTTGATATCTAACGCATTTACAAACCTTGCCATTATCATCCTTAATAAACCTTGTTCTCCCTTCCCTTTATTGGATTTGTCTGTTTCATCAGTTGGACACATATTCTGTAAGCGTTATTTCCGGCCGTAATCCAAATAATAAATCACGAGGTTCGGCTACCTTAGGACGTTTAGATTAGTCTTAAGGATTTCTAAAAGTTTTGCTGTATATTTTGATATAATGACGTAGGCTAACAATTTCTACTTAAGTTAAGTTACATATTCTGATGTGATGTCATGTGATAACAATTTATTCTTGAGTTAAGTTGTATATTTTGCTACCAAAGGAAATGACGACCGATATTTTTACACTCCCCAGAAGGTTAAAAGGTCAGAGTTGGATAAAAAAAGAGACTTTTCCATCAACATTGATAAAATCTTCCTTTCTGTAAGACTTACCAATATAGGGAAACTCTTGATGGGGCAAATGGTCGCTCTGAAAAGTCATCCGTGGAGGTATTGATTTTCTCATTTTCCGTTCACTGGATAGATTCATCAGTTCACTAGAACAAATCACAGGCTTCCATTGTATATACATTAAAGAAATATCCTTTGAGCACTCATGTAAAAACATCTTTTAGGTTTCTCTGAGAAGGAACTAGAGTAGTCTTGAATACTCATGTCGTTAAAGAAATCTGAAGAAAGCTTAATTGCTCGTGACTTTATAGAAAACTAAACGCACTTTTCAATCATGCTGCGTTCAAACAATAACTCGAAACGATCTTGTCATTAACAAATCAGAACGAGTTTTTAAGATGTAGAAATGAGATACGTAGAAGAAACATGAAACACTTTAATTTAAAATTTTAAAATGTATTAAAATATTTAGAGAAGGTCAAAGTAAGTTTAGTTTCGTTATTGGCCTTTTTCTAACAACAATATAATTGCTAGTAATCGGAATATACCGATATGATCATAGTTGATCCATTAAATAACATGTCGTTCACTGAACTTAATTACCATTTTCTGTTTCTCTGGAACTTTTAGAAATTTTCCAAGATCTTTTTCTAGTAAAGCATAAATTTTGGTAAAATCTGAAACTCTGAAAGATTAAAAACATCATTTCGACAGAAAATAAGTACGTTACAATGACGCTAAACAGAAATCTTATATTGAAAGAGAAATCGTCTTGATGTTCTCTAAGCAATTGGAAAAGTTTTTGGAGTCTAAATTTGTATTTCTCAAAATAAATGAGTCACTCACATACAGTTCATAGCAACATTGTATAATGAGAAATACACAGAGAGTTTCGTATATTTATCGCTAAACTGTATAGTGAGAAATACCAGTAAATTACGTAGTGTATGCAAAGAGTTTTGTTTATTTGTCATTAAGCTGTATAGCGAAAAATACCATTAGATTACCTTTACTTATATATTTTACAAATTAATTGTCGATAAGTTTAGTAATTAAACTCCAATCTTATCTCATCATACCTCCGATATACAGAACTTAATACATAGGAAGTGCATAGAAAAAATATCTCTTTTTATGCCTATCCGAAAAGTGATAATTGTTTTTATATAATGAGATTTATAAAGTTTGAATAAATGTGATTTTCACAGCTAAATGATTAAAACATTAGATATTCTCTTTCGTATGGCAGTCTTATAAAAACATTTGAATAAAAACATATTTTACGTATAAGCTACTTAAACTGTATAACATACATTCTGTTTCATATAAGAGATTTATACTTTTTTTAGAATACTTTTCATGGCGTTTTAAACACTTTCTTGTTTTTGATGTGTTTATTTCTGCTTTAGGTAAGAGTTTCGCTTATAGTTTTTCAAATGCTTTGTAACCAAAATTTACTTATGATTGCTTTTCATTTTTCTTTATAGATCATCGATTCAATACAAGGGATTATTAGAACTGGTGCTGAGAAGAACGATCAAGTTTGATCTGGACTCACTGAAAACACCGTAGTAAATTGTTCAGACTCCATTTAACTGAGAGTTAAGAATTAATACTATTAGTGAAATCCTGGCTTGGTTTACTTGGACCAAGTTTTATAGTTTATTAAACCTTTATCAAGATGGCTAATTCTAAGCAAAGTTCCTTGTTTCTCATCTTATGGTTTACCGCATGTGACAGTTTTGTCTTGGAAGGATCGTCCACATCCCATGCTCAGTTCAACAAGTTGTTTGTGGGGCTAAACGGTTCCTTGAAGTTTGAGTTTGAAACCAGTGAACTCAATGGACTTTTGTTTTATACTGATGACGGAGGAAATAGCGATTTCTATGAGCTCAAACTCGTAGAAGGGACTTTAAGGTTAAGATGCAATTTTGGGGCTGGGTCTGTCCTCTTCAACGTCGGTCGAGCATTAAATGACGGAGAGTGGCATCATGTGGAAATCGTACGGAACGGCGAAGAGATTTTGTTACAAGTTGATGAAGAAATTGCAAATCGCATACTGCCCGGAAAAGATCTTGAGTTTGGCAACATTTCAACGAATAGTCTTGTCTTTTTCGGGGGGCTACCTAGCTGGTATAAAACAAAGCTTTACAAGTTGTCTCTGCCCTCCGCTTTCTACGAACCTCATTTCAAAGGAGCTGTTCGAAACGTTGTTTACGCTAGTGATGAAGCACCACCGCAAAGCGAAGATATGACAGCCTTTGTGGGAGTACGAAGCAAAGAGATTAACCATTGCCTGTACCATAACCCTTGTCAACACGGAGGGATGTGCATTAGTACAGACAACAGCAGTTTCTGTGACTGTCACAATGTAGATTACGTAGGGAACTTTTGTGAAAAAGGTAGGACCATTTTTTACCATCTTGAGTATATCGAGCTTCTTCACGAATCCGTTTTTGCTAAACGCATCTATCTTGGTTATCTTCGATACATCGTTTTTCTCTGCTAGAATATATCTTTATTAGACCAGGAATCATAACATTCCATGCAATAACACCATGGAAAGCTGTTTTTGATACAAGTGTGATAAACAAGCCCTTTCATGGACTCTTCGAGAGTAGAGCATGTGGTAACAGTAAACGTAGCTTCTCTAGTGTTTAGCTGAGAGTTACCATATCCTTTCTCGCACTTCTCAGTACAGTATGTGGTAAACAATAAACTTAGCTTCTCTAATGTTTAGCTGACTGTTACCAGACACTTTCTCGCATTATTCACAAGGGCATGTAGTAAACAGTAAAGATACAAGACGTTGTAACATTTCATTATTTAAACAATATTGAACAAAATACGAGACATTGTGACATCTCATCTTCTAAGTATTATGTAACAAGATACACAACAGTGTAACATTTCATCCTTTAAACCTTATGGAACAATTTACACGACATCTTAACATTTCATCCTTTAAACCTTATGGAACAAGATAAATGACATTGTAACATTTCATCCTTTAAACCTTATGGAACAATTTACACGACATTTTAACATTTCATCCTTCAAACCTTATGGAACAATTTACACGATATTTTAACATTTCATCCTTTAAACCTTATGGAACAATTTACACGACATTTTACCATTTCATCCTTTAAACGTTGTGGAACGACATTGTAACATTTCATCCTTTGAACCTTATTGAACAACTTACACGACATTGTAACATTGTAACCTTATGGAACAATTTACACGACATTGTAACATTGTAACCTTATGGAACAATTTACACGACATTTTAACATTTCATCCTTCAAACCTTATGGAACAATTTACACGACATCTTAACATTTCATTCTTCAAACCTTATGGAACAATTTACACGATATTTTAACATTTCATCCTTTAAACCTTATGGAACAATTTACACGATATTTTAACATTTCATCCTTTAAACCTTATGGAACAATTTACACGACATCTTAACATTTCATCCTTTAAACCTTATGGAACAAGATAAATGACATTGTAACATTTCATCCTTTAAACCTCATGGAACAATTTACACGACATTTTAACATTTCATCCTTTAAACCTTATGGAACAATTTACACGATATTTTAACATTTCATCCTTTAAACCTTATGGAACAATTTACACGATATTTTAACATTTCATCCTTTAAACCTTATGGAACAATTTACATGACATTGTAACATTTCATCCTTTAAACCTTATGGAACAATTTACACGACATTTTAACATTTCATCCTTCAAACCTTATGGAACAATTTACACGATATTTTAACATTTCATCCTTTAAACCTTATGGAACAATTTACATGACATTGTAACATTTCATCCTTTAAACCTTATGGAACAATTTACACGACATTTTAACATTTCATCCTTCAAACCTTATAGAACAATTTACACGACATCTTAACATTTCATCCTTTAAACCTTATGGAACAATTTACACGATATTTTAACATTTCATCCTTTAAACCTTATGGAACAATTTACACGGCATTTTAACATTTCATCCTTTAAACCTTATGGAACAATTTACACGACATTTTAACATTTCATCCTTCAAACCTTATGGAACAATTTACACGACATCTTAACATTTCATCCTTTAAACCTTATGGAACAATTTACACGATACTTTAACATTTCATCCTTTAAACCTTATGGAACAATTTACACGGCATTGTAACCCTTATGGAACAAGATAAATGACATTGTAACATTTCATCCTTTAAACCTCATGGAACAATTTACACGACATTTTAACATTTCATCCTTTAAACCTTATGGAACAATTTACACGATATTTTAACATTTCATCCTTTAAACCTTATGGAACAATTTACACGGCATTTTAACATTTCATCCTTTAAACCTTATGGAACAATTTACACGACATTTTAACATTTCATCCTTTAGACCTTATGGAACAATTTACACGATATTTTAACATTTCATCCTTTAACTTTATGGAACAATTTACACGACATTTTACCATTTCATCCTTTAAACCTTGTGGAACGACATTGTAACATTTCATCCTTTGAACCTTATTGAACAACTTACACGACATTGTAACATTGTAACCTTATGGAACAATTTACACGACATTTTAACATTTCATCCTTTAAACCTCATGGAACAACTTACACGGCATTTTAACATTTCATCTTTTAAATCTTATGGAACAATTTACACGACATTGTAACATTTCATCTTTTAAATCTTATGGAACAAGATACAAGACTGTATTTTATTACTTTTCAAGTCACGTTTTAGTGAAACGATATTACCGGCGTATAGAGATGAAGAGCTAGTTGAATGATGACAAGCAGTAATAAAGAAATACAGTTAATATAGGTTTATGTGGAACAAATGGTGACAGTCTTCTAATGAAAAGAACAAGAAATAGGTAAATTTTGAATTTTATGGAACACTGTATATCATCTATTATATTGATAATAAAGCTGATAAGATGGTGTTTTTAACAACCCTGTCCTTAAGTTTCCCATCTTCCCTTGTACAATAAAATAGAGTAGATCTGATTCTGCGCTGCAAATAAACGTCATCAAAATAATTGATTTATGTTCTTTGAATTGAAGACTTTTTATCCAGTGCATTAGCACTGTGCTTTTTATGAATATCTTATTTTATAATTCTTGTCTGCATATAATACAGTCTTGGCCAAACTACTTCCATACTGTTCTAAATTGATTCTAATGTCTACATGCATAGATTAGTTATTGAGTAAATGTTCGAGTAGAAACAGAGAAGGTAACAAACATCGGACAAACATGTAAGAGCTGTTATTCTGGTCTGCATAAGTTGTTTTGAGCATTTGTTCGTCATAACACACATATACACACGTTTTATATAAAAGGGGTGTGCTTTTGGTATAATATTTTTCGGAGCAGATCAACACTTTGTTCAGATTATTTCTTTATATTTGGTGTAGAATCATGCATCGTCACGTCCCAGAAGTTATAGGGCGTCAAATTGTTCGACTGTTCAGAAATGGTGTGAAGCAAACAGACATTGGCAGACCAGTAGGTTACCCCCAGTGTACTGTATCGAGAATCCTGAAACGTCATCGAACTAAAGGAAACGTTGTTGTAGGAAAGTCTACTGGTGGACACAGAAAAACTAATACCCGAAATGACCATGTTTTGATCAGGTTAATACATCAAAATACAAAAAAGTCTTGCAACACCTTACAACAGGAATGGCATAAACATTGATTCCAGGATATCGAGAAAAACAGTTAATAAGAGACTGAACAAGCAAAGTTATTTTGCAAAAAGGACTATCTGCATCCAATATTAACCAGAATTCACTGCCTTCACCCTGTTACTTGGACAAGACAGCATGCCAACTTAAGTTAGGACACTGGCGACCTGTCATCTTTTCAGATGAGTCCTGTTTCCAGTTTGTTAAAGCTGACGGTAGGATTAATGTTCGTCGTTTACCTGGAGAACAGATGAAGGAAGACTGTATTTCCCACAGAGAACAAATGTGAGGCGGTACAGTACATGTTTGAACAGTTATTCATCATGGTGGAAAACTGCCCTGCTTAGCCTCCAGGGAAACGTCAATGGCGCTTCCTACAGGCATCACATGTAGATGATATTTCTGCTGTATGATAGGTCAAGGTTTGGCAATAACTTTGTGTTCCAGGATGACAAAATCACTGCCCATAGTGCACGTATTGTATATTATTATCTTTACCAGAAGGGCGTTACAAGATTGCCATGACCAGCAAAGTCTCCAGATTGTAATCTCATTGAGAACTGTTGAACAGAACTGAGCCGAAAATTGTTAACCAAGACCCTAACCAACTACTGTAGCTGAGTTGCAGAACATTCTAATGACAAAGTGGAAATAAATCACAGTGGATTACATCAATAACCTCATCGACAGTATGTCATGCCTCCTTGCAGAGGGTATTAGAGTAAGAGGAGAACAAACCAAGTACTCAATGTTTTAATAACTTGAGTTTTGAAATGGCTGGTGGTTTAGAAATTTGAGCAAAACTGAACAATAGCTATATGCCACTCGAAACTTGAACTTATGTTCAATGTACGGGGAAGATTCCCGAGAGTGACATATGGGAGAGAATGGGTCGAAGCTGAGCTTCGACTCTTTCCTTTGTCACTCCCTGGTGATCTTAAGGGTACGTGCCAGGTTTTATGACAATCGTTCAACGACTTGCCTGTTATAACACACACATAATTTTGTCAAACAAGGATATGGAAGAAGCAACAAACCAATATAATCCACAGCTTACTCTGGTAGAATAGTGGGATTTGATCATTATACTTGTAAGGCACCCATTGCCCTAAAGTCAGAAACCAGCAAAGGAATGCCAATCACGGACCACTGATTTTGTAGTCTGGAACGCCATTCAATAGATATGCCCAGCCAGTTCAGGAATGTTTTTCTGTATTGGTAAGTAAAGGTGATATGGAAATATAAACCAACGAAAGCTTCTTATGTACAATGTAACATAATTGGAAGTTTAAATGACATAAGCTATTTATGTATACATTGTCACATGATGGGAAGTGTACATGGATGTAAGCTCCTTAGGTATAGTGTAATGAAATAGGGAGTGTACATGGACGTAAGATACGTATTTAATATATAAAATGATGGGAAGTGTATGGACATCAGCTTCTTCAGTATAGTGTAATGGAATGGGAAATGTACATGGCCGTACGACACTTATTTACTATGCAACATGATGGGAAGTACATGGACGTAAGTTACTTATAAATTGTGTAACATGATCAGAAGTCCACGACAATGCACGTCCACATGTGGCACGTTTGACGGAACACAAGATTATGGAATTGGGTTGGGAAGCTCTCCCCCACCC